TCATTTCAGTAAATCAGTGAGATTCTATATATTAGCAATGAATGTAGTTTTGACCTTCCCTCCCCCCCTCAAATTGCGTGAGGTTAATACTTCAGCTTCCCATGTGTGGAAGGGGGATCAAGCTATTGTTGGAATATATAGCATACTACTATGTCTAGATATTAAGCATGGAGTATAGGGAGATGACACGGGTCATTGGGATAGAAGTAGGAAAGGTTAAATCCTTCTCTGTTATCAAGGGTAATTTAGCTTTGGCGAGAAAACACTGATGATGATTGATGACATGTTTGGTTTTTATTCTATTTTTATTGTATTTTATATAGTTTTTATTGTATTTTAATTAATATTTATTGCTGTTTTATTGTAAACTGCCCAGAGTCACGTTTTTGTGAGATGGGCGGTATCTAAATTTGAAATATAAATAAATAAATAAATGATGGTGATGGCGGTGGTCATTTAATCAATTTATATGGCTGCCAACTTCCTAGAGAACCTCTGGACAGCTAAAACGACATTAATGTTGATTAACAGTAGTCAACAGTAATAACAAAACATACAATCTGGCCATCAAACCACATCATACTGTCTCCCAAGGTGGGCACATCTAACATCCCAGCCCGAAAGCCACTTTTTTAATGCCTTATGAAAAGCTAGCAGGATCAGGGCCAATTGGATCTTAGGAGAAGATCATTCCAGAGCCAGGCATTGTCATGGAAGAGGCATTCTTCCTAGGTCCAGCCAAATGACACTGGCACAAGGGACCTGGTGCATGCCCAACTTGGCAGAGTGTATGGGGTGAGACAATATAACTAGAGACAGGCAGTCCTGCAAATAACCCAGTCCTATGCCATGCAGGAATTAATAGATGATAACCAGCCCCTCAGTTGCACTTTCATCGGTGTTAAATACAGGTTTAAATCCTTTCTGGCAATATGGATTGGGGTGGGGGGTGCATGTGTATGTATGTGTGGGCAGAGAAATCCTAGCCATAATTGACATTTTCTCCTATTTATAGTAAAGAATCCATTGTGGTTTAGTTATTTTAGCATGTTGATCTGGTAACGTATTACCTTTATTTTGTACAGAAATGTTGGAGAATAGCATCAGAACGAGTGCATGAATGTCATGTTGTTTTGATCAGAAGGCTCTATATAACCCTAACATAATTTAAGGAAGTCCATAGAAAGAAAATATCCTGTTTTTCCCAAAAACCAATTTTGTTCTTGGTAGAGTTTCAGGGATCTCTTCTGAACAACACGTGATGAGGCCAGGGACCTGCTGATGGTACTATAGAACCAACAGGAAACTCTCCTTTGCTTACTTTCCTCAAGTTGAGGTCTTAGAACCACATATGATTTTGTTCAAATCCTCCCATCCAGTCCCACAATGCTTAAGGAAGCCTCATTAGAGCAGCTTTTGAGAGATATCAGAAATCTTTCCTTTCATAAACCACCTTAAGTTATGCAGAGATTCAGGCCAGTGTCTTCCTTAAAATAGTCTCTGCGCTCCATGATTGCTCACTAGGAAGAAACTAACCAAGAAAAACTGACCAGTCATGTTGCCTTTTTAATTTTCCATAACAAAATTGTTCTTGCTAAAATAATTAAACAAACTAGTATATTCATGTTTAATCTTTACTTAAAAATATTAGGATTGTGGGATTGACTTATAAAACATGTATTATTGTACTGTACTAATCATGGTTAATTTTGTAAAACAGTACTTTATCTGATGTTAATCCTATTAGTAATACTGTGACATTATCAATGTTTCCAGTGCTAAATTCTTTTGAAATGAGTGGGAGTTGCTGAAAAGGCTGCACTGTGCATGTTACAATTTGTAATATGCATGCTAAGCGGTAAACTGTATTGGGCTCTGTGAGATTTATTTTATAGTAAAGATAATTATATTGCCTATCTCATTCAGCAATTCAATGGAGCACAAACTTTTAATACTGCCTTCTACTGCATTCTTAGCAGATTAAAAAATGTTTCTTAACAATAAGATTTTCTATATAATCAGATAGTATTATCCTGAATTTTCCCATAAACCAATTGATTTTCCTTTGTAATTAGTCTCTCAAAATAGCTGAGGAATTATGCTCTAATATAGGTCCCTTTTCATATTTCACCACAAATAAGCAGAATATTTGTTTCCCCCCCAAAAAAAATACAAGTTACTGTATCAATTTATAAAATAATGAGGTGTGCAGGTCAGAGAGGGCGTGCAGGGGTGCAGCGCAGGTCAGGGAGGGTGAGTGAGAGGCACTGCTTGGGTTGGGGATGGTGTGTGGGGGTGGAGCATGGGTCAGGGAGGTTGTGTGTAGGTGTGCGGGAGGCACCGCACAGGTCAGGGAGGGTGCTCAGAGGGTGGGTCAGGGAGGGTAGATGGGAGTGTAGCGCGGGTTGGGGAGGGTGTACAGGTGTGCAACACAGGTTGGGAACAATGTGTGGGGTTGTGGTGCAGGTCAGGTGTGCAAGGGGCACCGCACAGTTGGGGAGAGTGCATGGGTGGGGCAGACTTACCCCAGTGACTTGCGATCTTCCCTGCTGGCTTCCCCTTTAAATTTCTGGGGAACCCAGCATGGAAGGTTGCAAATGGTGATCATGTGACTGCAGGCCACTTGGCAACCTATCATAAATGCGAACAGGTTGCCAAGCACCCAGATCATGATCCTGTGACTGTAGGGGTGCTGGGATGGCTGCAACTTCAAGGACCAGTCATAAGTCTCCTTTTTCAGCACCGTTGTAACTTCAAATGGTCGCTGAACAAATGGTCATAAGTTCGAGGACTACCTGCATACCGAACACCTGCATACTCTTAGGATACACAGGAAAATAATGAGATGTTAGAGACATGCTTGTCCCAGTTTAATCATACTCCATCTTATCCTGTCTACAAAAGTCAAAGAGTACATTTAGGAAAATCCACTGCCTCCCACAAGTCAGGGAGACTAGGTGAAATTATGTCAGTAGTTAAATGTACAGCTGAGGGATCGGCCCTTAACCATCCTGAATCTATAGTATTGCTACTTCTTGATACTGAAAAAGTAGACTAAATTGCATTGTGAAACCCTATAAGATCCAACTACGTATTTTAAAATTAGGGCAAGAAGGTGGTATTATAGAGCACATTGTTTACAGATACAGATAATGCTACAAAATGCTCAGGGCCTGATAGCACCAATTTCGTCGTGGTATACCAAAAAATTTAAACTGGTTTTTTAGGAAAAAAAAAAGTATTAATTATTTAATTAATTAATTGATTAATTAAAGTTGGCTGTTTAGTTATTTTGGACTCTCTGATAAATGGCCAGATTACTATTTGCCATTATATTATATTCTAACATGAATTTTATATTTCAAAACACCTCATACAAAAGCAGAATATATTAACATGGTCCTATGCACATTTGCTTAAACATTAAGCTTTGTTCAATTTAATGGGATTAATTGAATTACAGTATTTATTGACAATTGTGAAGGGCTTTTTCTAAAAGTTTTTTTCTTTTTCTCATTTTGAAGTGAAAAATTAATACTAATACTTTATACCTGAAGTCTCACAACTGAATAGGTGAACTGCCCCCATTCATAAATTACAGGTGGAATTTCAACTAGGTGCTGCTGTAAGTTGAGTACTGTAACACTGGCTGATGAAATATGAACAGATTTCCCTCCTCACTAGTCACCTAATCAACATCAAAATATGGTTCCTGAGTGTAAATCTGATTTCATATCAGATTTCACTTACTGTGTTTGACACAGGATCATAGGGTTGGAAGGGACCCTGGAGGTCTTCTAGTCCAATCCCCTGCCCAAGGCAGGAGCCAAATGTGATGTGAAATATCTGAGGAGTTTAAAATGTGATGTGCAAATCCACATTTACTATTGCAGTTATCAGCTTATGGATAAGTTTCTGCTGAACAGTACCTCTGTGCTTATATAACATTCTAGACTATCAAGAACATAATTAAGTTGCATTGATGGGGAGAGTGAGCAGTTTGTTCTCTGCAGTCTCCCAACATGCAAATGAACAAATCAGCAGTAAATTAAGATACATGCTATTCAAATCATTAAAAATACATGTTAGATGAATATGTGGTAAATATCATTAAAAATACATGTTAGATGATTATTTGGTCAGTTCAATTTATTACAATGTACAATAAACTTGAGTCCATAATAGTAGAGAGCAGGTGTGAAGTTAATGCAAACAATAGATTTTCAATTATCTTTTTTTTTTATATAAATCTTCCCTTTTCACTTTGTATTTACAACTATGATTCATGCCCTTATTACCTCACAGTTAGACTACTGCAATGAGTTTTACATGGGGCTGCCCTTGAAAATGACTTGGAAACTGCAACTGATCCAAATTGCATTAACCTAGCTATTAAAAGGTCATAGCTGCCCAGAGTCACCTTGTGTGAGATGGGCGGCTATATAAATATGATAAATAAATAAAATAAATAAAAAGGGAGGAGTGGATTTAGTAGCGCAACGCCAGTCCTCTAGTCACTTTGTTGGTTGTCAATAGGCTTCTTGTTGGTTGTCAATAGTGCTGGTTTTAGCCTATGAAGTCTTACACAGCTCAGCACCTGTGTACCTTTCTTGAATAGAATCACCCCATCCTGTGTATTCATTCCTAAGAAGGGTGGCAAAGGGTCCCCCGCCTGCATGAAGTGAAAGGAGTGGTGACTAGAAGTGTGTATTCTCCCACTCCGTGGAATACCTTGCTGCCTGAGGTGCAGAGTTTTTTGGGTCCCAAAGGATTTGAGATCAACTTGTTCCAAATAGTTTTTGGTGAAGATGGTGGACCTGGACTATTACTGTAATGTTCTTTTTTATTAATTTGTGATTGTCTAACTTTATTTTGACCATACTGAGATTACCATAAGCCACCTTGAAATGCTAGAACTAAAACAGTATAGAAAAGACTAAATAAATAAATAAATAAATAAATAAATAAATAAATATTTATTGGCAATGTTTCTGCAAATAGCCATTGTCAAGAGCTGAGTGATGTTGAAGATCTTCTCTAATAATATAAACCTGCATCAATGTATTGTTTTGAAGAATTTCTCCATAATTTTACAGAAAAGACAGTGGTTTTTTTTTTAAGATTTTCTCCTTGGTGAAGTATATTTTCCTAAATTGTGTTGAAGAAAAAAAAGAGAAAGATTAAATTGAACTGATTAGTAACAAGTTTAACTTTTCTTAACTATAGAGGGTCTTGTGACAATCCACATATTCCAAATTCATTCATTCTTTCCCCCTCAGTAGTTTTTATAGCATAAAATCTGTCTGTTATATAACAAAACATTGAAAACAGATCCAAGTCCCAATACTTGTAAAAGGGAAAGAGAATACTGGCACATTTTTTTAAAATCTCCCTACTCTTTACCATGCAAATACATTACAATTTGGATATTTAAAAACTTCAAAACAGCTGTAGCTATTTTTATGTACAGTAAGAAGCAATAAAAATAACTTATTTAAGAAAAAAGATCTTCAAGCTCAGATTCGTATCTTTACATAAAACTAGTCTATGAATCCCAAAGCTCAAGCTCATGTTCATGCATGTAAGGCAGCAGAAAATGGAGTAAAATGTATAGATCCAAAGCAAATAATTTGCAAAGCAGATGAATTTTCAGTTATGAACCCCAAATATTAAGAAAGTAGAGAAACATGCCAGGAAAGTTGCCGTATTAGCAGAACGTAAACAAAGAACCTGACATTCACAGGCATTAAAAACATATCATTTTAAGAAACCTGAGTGAAAATTCACAGGAACATAATGCTAAAAGAGTTTGATCCTTCAAGGGTTCAGCTGACTACTAAATGCTTAGGACACCCTGCCAAGGTCAACATATGCAGCATGTTGTTGTTTCCGATTCCACACAATCCATGTCTTCAGATGAAAAAGCTTTGGAGACCCAGGCAGTGTGATATTGGAAATGCTAAATTTAAGAAAGGTAACCTCATATTTCCTTAAGAGGATTTTTTTTATGGCAAAAGTGTGCATTGTTCTTTTAATGTACCTCAAACTACTATTAAATGTTTTTCTTCATGTTGTCAGAGCTGCCATTTTTATGAGCTTTGGCGTCTGCTTGTCCAATGAGACAAATAACTTTGTAACATCCTTGTGTAATTTTGACCATCCACATTAAGTTCATAATATCCAATACAATACTGGAGATAAACCAGGCGCTTTGAGCTGCAAATCCTAATCTGTAGAAAGCTTCTGTTCCAAACTCAGAAGCAACACTGTGATAATAAATTGGAATGACTATGATCCTCCCTAGGAAAAACATGATGGTCATTAGCAGTCCATTGATGATGTTGGCTTTTGAAGCTTTAGAATATCCCAACACTTCAAAGAACCACCTACAAAAGAAAGAGGATTAACAGAAATCAAAACCAGAAAGGCAGTATTTATTTTATCTAGGCAATCTCTGAGACCTACACACATGCCTACTTTGCCACTCTAATCCTCCCATCCTAGAATGGGCAAGAAATGTTGCTGCCCTAAATGTGGCTGTCCCCACAATGCCATCCTTACCACATATTTGGAACAGGTCTCATGCTGCATAGCTATCTCTACACCTTTAATGAGCCATATTCTAAGGCTCATGACTGGTGGTTCCTTGGCTGAAATTCCAGCCCCATTCAATATCCTGTGAAAAGCCCCCTCCAAGTTGTATGCATAATGCTTTAGTTACTCCATAACTGCAATCATTTCTTTTTTTCTTTCCTGTCATACCATCAACCAATCGAACTGGGTTTTTTTCTTTTGTTTCTTTTGTTTGTTTTATATCCTTGAAACTATGAGTTGACTGGTTATGGTGAAAGTTTTTTGTATCTCTTTGCTGCCATCTAGTGATCTTTCTAGTGTATTGATCATCTGGATTTGCACAGCAGTTGGGTAAGTGCTGATGAAGAGCTGGAGTTTGAGAAAGGGGTTTAGCTGTGGGGAGCTGTAAACTGCCTAGGAATATTACATGAAGAGAGGTAGTGAGGAGCTAGGGCTCCTGGTAACCAGGAAGGAAATTCCCTGTTAGGTGAGCTACAGAAGTATAAAAGATAAGATGTTTCAATTACACTTCCAATTACATGTGAAAAGCCAAGAACAAGCTAGTCAATTTCAGAACTTTGAACCTCCATCAACCAATTGACTAATAGAGTTGGAGGGGGTGGCTGTGGAAGCCAGGGTTCCAATTTACCTAATAGCCCAAAGAGAATTGAGGGGTGGGAGACAGATCAGGGACTGGATAGAAGAGATTGATCCAACAAAAAACTAGCAGAACCAAATGGAGCCACAAAATTGTCAATACAGGACACGTTCCCCCACATGCATCAACACACTTGGCATTGCCTATTCATCATGTCTGGAGGATAAGAGAAAAAACACCACTTCCAGAATAAAGATCCTAGATCTGTCCTTGGGTTGCCTCAGCTGCTGGGGACTATGAGATAAAGTTGATGGCTCCAGACATATCCTTTGGAAACACTTAGAAGGCCATTATCACAACAAGACAAGGATAACATGAGGATTTCCCCTGAGATTTAGGATTTACAACACTGGTAACTCTATTATATCATCCCTGCATTTTTACCTTTTATTATAGCTTCATCTGTAATTTAAAAAAAAATCAAGTGAGATTTCTGTAAGAATATTCAGATATAGTTCTAACATGAATCTTGTCTCTTTACTAGACAAAGTCCAGTGTAATATAAGTAGATTTTCATTAGTGTGACTGGAGTTCTCTCTCTTTCCCTCTGCACATCTTATATATCTCTCCCCGGTTTTTTTTTTTTTCTTGAGTGTGCCCCAGCTATACAAAGTAGATTTAAGGAGTGCATACGAAGACTACAGCAAGAAGAGGAAATTTTCTCCATCAGTAAATTTCCTTCACTATGTTTTTATCTGGTGAAATAATTTGATTTGATACAACCTACTGACATATAACCACATTCATAGGGAGCATAGCTTTTTGCTTCTTACCACAGTAATGGATTTTTAAAAAATACTGTAACAGCTATGCCCTAAAAGTATATTTTCTTAGTTATAATTCTTAGTATTAATATATAATACTCTTGTTCTTTGTGGTAAATAAGAATAAACAGAAACATAGTAATGAAGCATTGTCCTAAACTAAATAGGTGAAATCCTTAAACAAACAGCAGTACAAAGAATACTCTCTTTTAGCCCACAAGAATGCGCAGGTGCAAGAAAAAAGGGGTCTTGCCTCATTTCTCCCGTTTTCCACCATGTAAGCACACAAAAGCCAAACTCACAGAATATATTCTTAAATTATGAAAATGTGCACAATAACTGCTCTCCTCAGGTTCATCTGGTCTGATAAAGTGGGAAATATTCCTTCTCCCAGTGTGATTTTATTCATGTTATCTTCTACTCCAGTATAGTTTCTACATTCTACAGTTGCATGGATAGAAGTCAAGAAAGGCATAATAGTTCCTTTTCTGCACATTGGTCCAGAAACAGGAAGTGAAATAAATTTAAAGCAAGATCTAACAGAGCACTGAATTTTGCCTCATATTCTTCACGTTTATAAGGAAGATGATGTTTCCTTTATACATTATCAGGGATCATTATGTAAATGCAAGCGCATTAGGCCTATGATAAATTTTAATTTTCTTCCTGTGTAAGGGAACTTTCATAACAAACATTGAGGCTCCTCTGAAGTGATCTTCTAGTTAAAACTACCCAGAAGATTCAGGAAGGAAGGAAAAGAACTTGTTTGGTTTAGATCGTTGTACCTGGGTTTTTATAATTTCTGTTGACAATTTCAGAAGAGTAATTGAATTGCTTATAGATGTCAGGGAGTACAACTGAAGAGAACACCTTGACTATTTTCATTTCAATAATGATATAGGCAAGCAATATAAGCTGTTACTATAGATAAAGATATGCATTCACCAACTGTATTTGTGTGTTAATGAAGACCTGGTTGTACTTTTATCATGAGCAACAGAGCTTCTCTTCACTTCAAAGCAGCAAAAACAAATAGCAATGATGACATAGCTTCGGAGAACAACTGTAAAAAGAAATTGTTTCTTTGAAACCAATTTGAAGCCAAACTGCAGATCTTACTTTTGCTCCTTATGCCATGCTGCAAAAGTAGCATCAGAAAGGATTCATGGTTTGCAATGGGCCTAGTACTTTCTAACAGCAATAATGAAATGACTTTGAGTCACTCTTTGCATGACAGAGAAAGCAAACAAAATAAAAATAACATTTTAATATAGAAACAAGGTAAAAAGTAACAAGGCAAACAAGGCTCACCTACTCTTCATTCTAATACTATAAAACCCTTATTTTACTTATCGTCTTGGCCAAAACTAAGGGAAATGAAGTAATATTAAAACAATTAGACTGTTCAGACTTAAAAGGAAACATTATTTCTAAACATATCCAAAGTCTGAGATAAAGCCATTAATTATTCCAAATCAATAAAACGAAGACAATGAATTAGTGCCCTCAAACTATAAGTAGCAATGGCCAAAGATGGATGGATGGATGGACGGACGGATGGACGGACAGACAGCGTAGATTGTATAAAATACTATTTACAAATATAGTCATGCAGAGTGTGGTCTAATATATACTCTTGTTTTGTGGAACATATAGAAGTTAAATAAACAGTATGACAATCATATTACTCTTTAGAAAATTTCAAAAGTTAATTTCTAGATCTCACTATGTAGGCAATCGTGATACCCAGATGGATCGTGCTTTTGACTTAGATTTTAACAAGCCTTTGACATATCTCAGAAGTGATTATACAGTACAGTAGCAGACATGAACAAACAAAAAACAAAACAAGAATGAAATAAACGTGCAAAAAACAGAAGCATGCACTTCTTGAAAATACATGCAACTTGAAAGTTGCCCCTTTTTACTAAGTAAAGTACCTATTCCAAGAATCATTGTGCAAGGAAAAAAAATCTCAACATGTTATTTAGATAAAAACCTCCTTTCTGCTTGGTTAAAAAGCCTTGCATGGAAATTAAGATAAATAACAAAATGGTTATTGGTTTTAGTTTGAACAGTACCTTTTTAGATACTATGAATGTCAACTACTAGAAAAAATTAAATTACCGTATTTATCGGCCTATAACACGCATGGGCGTATAACATACACCTTAATTTTAAGAAGGAAGTTTGAGTAAAAAAAATTAAATTTAAAATAAATGACTTGGAAGCAAAATAAAGAGAGCTATGAACTTTTTGTTTATTAATATTTATACCACTTGTAAGGTAAATACGTCATATGAAAGAAAAAGCACCTCTTCGAACGAGAAAACCGGTGCTCCCCATCGCTCACGCAAGCACCTGAGCTCCACAGAGCAGGAGGTGAGCAGCGGGCAAAGAAGGGAAAACCGGTGCTCTCCATCTTGCACCAGCGAA